AGAATTTTGTCGGGAAATATGGTACGTAATAATGAATACAATAGATGATTTGAAATGCATGAAATGATTGTTTTCTATCTTGGTTATGCACATAACATTTTTGAAAGTGATCCACCTATGCATAATGTGTTTAGACCTCCAGAAAAAGAGAAAAAAAAAATATAATATAAGCATTACATATAATTATTGAATGAAAAAAGAATATAATTAGTTGTCATTCATTACTTAATTAAACCATATAGTTGAATATTATAGTTGCTTCTTAGAATACATACATACATACATACATACATACATACATACATACATACATACATACTGAACCTTTAGGATGAAAGAAAATGTCCATACAATTTAGTATGTCCTTTATATTTTTTCCAATAGAGAGCATTCTTTTTTACCACACTGTTGGTAATGAATCTGAAATTTCTTCATTTGAAATATATAAGACATGATGCTAAGTTGTCGCTAATAGTTAGTTGGACAATGTGTTGTGTACGGATTTTCCAAATTATTCTCAAATCTCAGACATGTCTAGCAACTTGTAGTAATTTTGATGTAGCAAACATTTTTTCATGAAATAATTCAATAAATAAAATAAGTATGAAAATAAAATTACATGAAATATATGTTACTCATTAAGTTGATGAATGAGCGAGGGTATGAGTAGCATACATTTATTTTAAACTATAGAAGTTGCGAAGTGTCTTTTGGGTTGCATGAAATCGCATATTCTCATTATCACTAACTAACTTATGTTTTTTTTTTGCAATAGATAGTTCAAAATGTGCCTTAAAACTTTTTATCCCACCACTGTAAAAGAATTGTTTGAACTAAAGGATTGTAAAATAGTATTGAAAAAGTTGGTAGTAGAGTATTTTACACTAAAGTCGTAATTTAATTGTGGTTCAACCGTTTCATATTGTTAAATATCACCCATCGATTTAGCATATGATGTGAATTTTCATGGTCTAACGGCCGTACATACGATCTTTAATACAAAATTTAAATAAAAAACCACTAAAATATTGACATTATTAAATACCCCTTAAATCTTAGAATTTACAATAATCGTATTAAGAAAAAATATTCCAAATTATACTATTGATTTAGGATTTTAAATTAAAATAGAAAAAATATGTCAAATATAATGTCATCTCCTAAAATAAATCAAAACTCAACATAATAGGCCAAGAATATCCAAGAATTTGTCCTATCATTCTTTATTTGATTTCCTACTTGTTTTTCCATTAGTTCTTTCATCTCTCTCTCTCCCAGATTTGTATCTCACAACTCTCCCCTTTTTCCCTTCCTTTTTCTTTTCACTGCCTGGAATCGAGAGAAGCCTAGAAACAAACCAATTAATTCTCCAATTTTGCGTTTGAAATGCTTCTTCTCCATTAACAGTCGATAGTGTGAATCAGAGCACCTGAAACATGGCGAATAAATGGTCGCTTATTCATCGACGGAGCAAAGTAGCTTGATAGCTTGTGAATAAACTAATTATTAAAAGTGATAAAAATTAGAACTCATTAAATCAATCGAGTGAGTGTATAGTTAGTTTATCGCTTAAAGCCGTAAACCATTATATTTATATAAAGAATCAAAATGCATAATCAGGTTCATCTTCACTTTACCTGTATTTGTCGTACAAATTCATTACACATAAAAAATGCCTTCGAACCGACGCCATATCAAACCAAATCTCATCTTATGATTATCGGATCCATGTCCGATTAGCAAAAGGTCTTAGGTTATTGGTCATCCGGGCTGAAATTTTAAACTAATTTAAGAATTATTTTTCGTTTTCAAAATGTTCAATACTCCAATTCAATATGAAATATTCAATATTCAAACAAATTATATGTGAGTTTCAACCCTTTCCAAATTTTTTTAGACAAAAAAATCTCCCCTCCCCTTCACACACATTTGTAAAGAAATATTAAATCCCAATTTCTTCTTCACTTTACTTGCTTCTAAAGCTGTTGTCGATGTTGTTTATTATTACTGTAAGCTGTAAAAAGACTATTAAGCTATTGAGTTAATCAAGAATGAATTTATATATAAATTTTTAGTTGTATACATTGACAAAGGTTTGAGTCTCAAAATAATAAATGAATGTATTTTATAAACCTTTTAGAACATGAGCTCACACGTTGATGTGAGAAACTACTCATTAATTCAAATTTTACATGTTATTTTTAGAATATTTTGTTTTATTTTTATCAAATGGCGCATTTCTCCATAAAACATGAGTTCACCAATAAAGACTATGTAGTGCTCGAACTTGTGTGCGAGCCCTTGAAGTTTAAGTCTGGTACGAACCATGAAGCATTCATGGTTGTACATGGTCGATCCATATACATTGTCTTCATGGTTAGATCGACCATGTGCCTAGGTATAGTTATATACATTGTAATAATTAAGTTTCTACCTATTCACAACACCAAGATAAAAACAATCATAAATTCACCCAGTATTCGATGTTGACTACCTGATGAAATACTATATTTGAATAAACTACAACGGATGTCACAAATAATAATTATACCTTTAAATCATACATAAAATATTTCAAACATCACAAATATTAAGATTAAATTAATTATCATAAAGAGTAAAAATTGTATAATGAGGTTTATTATAACTCATTTATATGTTAATGCCCTATAAATTGATAAACACATCCGATCCAAAACTGATGAAATGAACATCACATTAAACTCGATATCGTCTCATTATTGTCGGGACCATTCATGCCCGATTAGCAAGAGTTTAACGTTTAGCAGTTATTCAGGCTAAAATTTTAGAGAACCAGTCACCTATAGTTTGTACAAAAAATTATTATTTCGTATTAGTTCTGAAAATTCATATTAATTTACAAAATTCTACATCGCTTTTGCATATTCAATACTGTAGTTCGATATGCAATATTTCAAGCAATGAAATTTTTGTTCCAATTTTAAGATTACCCGCCATTTTATAGGTTATAAAAATTATAAATCACGTATTAAACTTTGCTTTTTAGAAGATTTAATAGGCTAGGTAACTGTGAAAAGTCCTCTGCTTTTCAAATCTTCGCTTAGTGCATGTTTACAATCGATGAAGATAAAACAAATTGGTTGTGATTATTGTTTTTGTTTGAAAAGACCATGACTCAAATCTTGATATTGATACTTTTTCCTATGAAGTAGATAATAATTGTGATGACAAAAATAGTCTTCCTACTTTCACTCTCGCTTCACGAAATTTGAAATAAAATTTTTTTTAAAAATTGAATATATCTTATAGAAAGAGGTTCTTCAACCAAGTAGGAAATATATTTTCCTGAAACTATTATATCTTATAGAAAGGGATAGTTGTGAAATCGGAACTCAAATAACATTGATTCAAACATTAAATAATAAATTGTATGTGTGGTTCAGTTTAGACAAAATGCATATGTGTAGCCAAAACATTGATCTTTGTGACAAATATAATATTATGTGTATAGCTAATCATGGTTCACTCTCAGATCAGAAAATTTGAAATGAGACTCTCATTTTCCAATTTTATCATTATATTATGTGTAGATTTGTCACAAAAATAATTATACTTGTAACATCCGGAACCTTTTCCTAACAAGATACTGTCCGCTTTGGGCCTCTACACCCGCACGGATTTCGACTAGGGGTGCAATTCAAGGTGACTTCCCATAAGGTCACCCATCCTTGTTGTGCTCCACACTAAGCACGTTTAACTTCGGAGTTCTCTCAAGAACTCCTCCATTACACCCCAAAACGCATCTTGTCAGTTAAGGTCGGTTTCCTACTTTCCATTACACCCCAAAACGCGTCTTGTCAGTTAAGGTCGGTTTCCTACTTATGAACCATGGATCTATCCCGTGCTTTGTCGATGTGGGATTTGCCTAAGGTGTTACATACATCCCCCCTTGGGACTCAACGCCCTCGTTGAGATTTACCCCACCATCGTTCAAGAGGGACGCAGAGAGGCTCTGATACCACTTGTAACATTCCGAACCTTTTCCTGACAAGATATTGTCCGCTTTGGGCCTCTACACCCGCACGGATTTCGACTAGGGGTGCAATTCAGGGTGACTTCCCATAAGGTCACCCATCCTTGTTGTGCTCCACATTGAGCACGTTTAACTTCGGAGTTCTCTCAAGAACTCCTCCATTACACCCCAAAACGCGTCTTGTCAGTTAAGGTCGGTTTCCTACTTATGAACCATGGATCTATCCCGTGCTTTGTCGATGTGGGATTTGCCTAAGGTGTTATATACACCCCCCTTGGGACTCAACGCCCTCGTTGAGATTTACCCCACCATCGTTCAGGAGGGACGCAGAGAGGCTCTGATACCACTTGTAACATCCCGAACCTTTTCCTGACAAGATACTGTCCGCTTTGGGCCTCTACACCCGCACGGATTTCGACTAGGGGTGCAATTCAGGGCGACTTCCCATAAGGTCACCCATCCTTGTTGTGCTCACACTGAGCACGTTTAACTTCAGAGTTCTCTCAAGAACTTCTCCATTACACCCCAAAACGCGTCTTGTCAGTTAATGTCGGTTTCCTACTTATGAACCATGGATCTATCCTGTGCTTTGTCGATGTGGGATTTGCCTAAGGTGTTACAATACTCGTCACAAAGGTCCATGTTTTGATTACACTTCTGTATTTTTTCTGAACTAAACAACACATACAATTTAATATTAATGTTTGAATCAATACTACTTGAGTTCCGATTTTAGAACTAATATCTTTATATAAAATATAAATAACTTAAGATAAAAGATAAATATAGAAGCATCATCACCAAAAATATTCCTAGAGTTTAATCAAAGAAATAACAATAAATAAAATGTAGCCTAGTTGTTTTTTTTTTTTACAACAAATGTAGCCTAGTTGGTTATAATGCTCTTTCTCATTCAAGCGACCAAGGTTCAAAATCTAATGATAACATTTTTATTATATAAACATGAACTGAGTGCAATGACAAAAATGACCTTCCTAGAATCACTCTCATGCCACGAAATTTGAAACGAGAGAATTCCAAGCCATGTTTTGCCTTTATGTATCTTGTAGATAATAAACAATCGAACTTGAGAGGCTCATATACCGAACGTCTCGAAATAATACCCGGGGCGGGAGATTCAATTAAGCGAGATTCAGAAGCGGAAATTTCACCTCGACCGTCAATAGGTTTAGCTAAAGCATTTATAACACGACCCAAAAAAGCCTCACTTACGGGTATCTGAGCAATTTTTCCTGTTGCTTTTACAGAGCTTCCCTCTTGTATCATTAACCCGTCACCCATTAATACAACACCAACATTATTTGATTCCAGATTCAGAGCAATACCTATTGTACCCTCTTCAAATTCTACTAATTCACCTGCCATGACTTCATCAAGACCATAAATACGAGCAATGCCGTCACCTACTTGAAGTACGGTACCGGTATTAACATTTTTAATATATAAACATGAAATGAGTGCAATGACAAAAATGACCTTCCTAGAATACTCTCAGGCCACGAAATTTAAAATGCGCGAATTCCAACCTATGTTTTGTCTTTTTGTATCTTGTAGATAACAAACAATCGAACTTGAGAGTTTCTTTACTTCCTAAAACCAATAGTAAAAAAAAAAGACATAATTTCAAGAAAAAGCAAAAACAAGTATGTGGGTACCCATCTCCCGAGTTCGCAGCACTAACTAAGAACTCTTATCAGAGGCTGAAAAGTTATAACCATATCAAAGCGATAAGCTTTACCAAGTTCAAAGTGTAATCAACCTCAAAAAATCAAATGCTGCCAGATGAAGAACAAGATGAAATTGAAACCTAACCTTCTGAAACAAATTCTCCAAAAGAAAGAGAAAGTTTAGGCTTTCGATTTGGAGTAGGGATAAAGCTGAAAAGGCATCGGGACGGTCATAGATGTTTTGCCCGTAGCTTACCTAGCAAGTAAGAGGCCCATTCTATGGGTCAGATATGACTCAGCGTCCAAAAGCAGATGTGGACTGGTGACATGGAAGGGAAAATTATCTTTAGGTACCTTCCGTTAGTATTATTGACGGAAATGGTGACATTGCAATTATTTTTCGATTTAAATGGTTTAGGTGCAACAAATCGTACTTAGGTGGTCACCGTGCAACAAATGGTAAACTTAAGTGGCAATTAGTGCAATTAACCCTTTATATGTAGATGAAGAGGATAGTGACCAAGAGAGAGCCGCCGCTTTACCTTAGGGTTTCTTAACATTTATTAGTTAATTTGAAAATGGGTGGGTGCGGGTTGTAAAATTGGCGATCCACAAACCATCTCAAATACCACCGATTCGTCTTTCATTCCTTCCATCAATTTGGAATTGTAATTTGCGACTATAGGTTAAAAAACTATTTACACTCACAATGCCTAGGCGAATATGGCGCTAGGCAAGATCAAAATCTTTGCCTTATGCCTTGTGCCTTCTTGAAACTTAGTTATTATCAGGCTTAGACCATGTTTATCCGTTGGATATTTTGTAATTTTTGAACAATTACCAATACCAATATTGTAAAATAAATGGTTCGCTTAATTTATGGATTAAACGTTATTTAGTTTGAAAATTTCTTTCATTTTAAGTTTGTAACTATTGAAATTTTGTGATCATATTAAATATATGTTATAAACCCACCGAATCCACCCAACCACCCAACCCAGCCCACCCACATTTAGGTGGTGTAAGCTTGACCTGGAAGACCCACTGACCCGTCCCATACCCGAGGGTCGAGACGGGTCAGTTTGTCTACAAGGTCAAATTAGGGACAGGTCATTTGTTGGCCCTGTAAGGGTCAGGATGGGTCACTTTTTGACCCAGTAACCCTTAGCAACAACAAATATCTCATACCACATAGGACTTTTTTTTGTAAAGTTTTAAAAGTTTAGGTACTAAATTATAAAAAAATTTGTGGACCAAAATGTAATTTTACCATCAAAATTTATAGACTTGTATGTAAAAAAATAAAATTTAGGTACTAAATTGTAAGAAAAATAATTTTGGGTACCAAAACGTAATTTATAAAAAAGTAGTGTGTTGATTCGGGTAGACCCACTGACCCGACCTGTCTCGGCCCTTGAAGGTCAGACTGGGTCAAGAAGGAGACAAGGACGGACTGGTCAGTTATACATCTTGAACCTTCAGGCATAGGTCAGAAAAGGGTTAGGGACGAGTCAGGGACGGGTCGAGACAATTTTCAGCCCTATCCACATGTAATGTTTGGGTGGGTGCAGGTCATTTTCTCCTTCACCCACCACACAGTGGGTTGTTCCAAACCCACCCAAATCCGATTAAAGCCACCCACAACTCACCCCCTAGGTTCGGTGTGGATCAATACAGACCTCAGGGATAGGGATCGTCGCGATGCAAAGAATGGTAAGCATGTTCGTCCGATGGATGTTGACGAGGAGCGGCCCAACCAATCCCATAACTTGGGACTCAAGGAGAAAACAACTCCTACTCACCGCAAGAAACCAGCCATGAAGCGGCACGACCGTAGCCCGTGAAGGTTGCCTATGCCGAAGTCCCCAAAAATCAAGATGGGAAGGGGGACTTTATAGCCAAACTCCTCAGAAGGACAGCTCGACGGCTAGCCGAGGACATTCCTCCAATGCGAATATGGAGGAGGCTGAGGTTATTGCAAGAATGGAGCACCCTGCTGTTGTAAGAGGCGCACAGGCGCCGGGAGAATCGGGAGCCATCTCCTACCAATCAAACAAGCCGTTTTGAAGTCCAGGCGATGCAGGTCCCTCAACCTCTACCATGTCGACAGGAACAACTTCACCAACGGAAGCTTATCTTGGATGACTTGGATGAGGACTCCCTCACGAGGCCTATACCAGGTCAAGCAAAACATCATGTTAGGACTGTGGCTAAGGTTAAGGGAAGGAGACTTATTAAATTAGCAAATAAAGGTCACGTTGCTGGGGAAGAGGGTACCTCGCAGGGGATATTTCGACCTCGCCAGGGCAGCTCCCAGAAGACAACTGGGGGTGTGGAACCAGAACAAGTGGCGGCGGAGGATTGCATCCTAGATGCAACCTGTCCCTTACCTCCACGGAATAATGGCCAGTCTCCTCATAAGCGCGAAGCAGAGATGGTAGCTGACTCGGAGACTTCCCTCTTCGAAGAGGAGGATCCCTATTTCAAACTCAAAATCCGGGCACCTGAACCGGGTCTAAACAAGGGTACTCGCTCCATTCGTGGTTGATTTCATCAGGTTGTCGTTGCTTTTGAATCAGGGCTGATTAATGATGAGGCTGATGCCCTCTTTTCGTTCAAATGGCCACAACGGCTGTGGGGGGGGGGGGGGAGCAGACAGAGAGGGCAGAAGAAGACCGGATCGATGAATATGGATCATTAACGAATGTGAGTACATCTCGATCTCCTTTGGCTATCTTGCCGAGTTTCCCTTTCAAATGGATAATACGAGATTGGGAATTGCTAGCATACAAATTCTCTAGTGTTAACCAAGCATCGCGAGCACTCAATGCCGAAGACACAAAGGAATAGATTGATTCGTCGATAGAACATCGCAAGGCATGGAGTATGAGTTTGTCTAGCCTGAACCAATTGTGATAAGCAGGATTTGAGACAGAGGCGACATCCACTGCAATAGATTGAGGCAGGGCAGCCTTTGATCCATCAATGAAGCCGATTAGGTCGAGTCCCATGAGAAGGGTTTCCAGCTGCGACCGCCATGAAGCAAAGTTTGTCGAAGTGAGTTTCAGGGGTAGTTGTGTCGCCGGATTGAAAGTGATGATTTGGATCTCAGAGCTTTTGGATCCGTTGTGTGAATCAGAGACGATAGAGTTGCCGACCATGATGACAATAAACAGAGGAAATCAGAGACGAGGTAAAAACAGAGATGAAGAGAGAAGAAAAGAGACGAGGTAAGTGATGGATAGGTTCTTGCTGATCGTTGCTAGCTCTGATACCATGAAGGATTTGAGGAGAAAAGATATTGCGAAAGAATCAGATAATCTTCTCATTAGGTACATGAAAACTAATATACATAATTGAGAGAGACAAAATAGGAGCTCTAGCAACAGAAAGCTAGGCACGACACAGGTCAGTAGGAACATAAAAGGTAGTGGGAAAAATAATAAAAGAATAATTACACAAAATGAAAAATCATCATTCTCTAATACGATTCCCTTCCGTCAACACCATGATTAGCTATACAGATGAATACCAGCTTGGAATCGTAACGAACTCGTCGCTCTTTACCTCTAAATCGCCCGACGTCGAGCGAGAGTCGTGTTGCCAGGGCTGCTTGACGTCTGTCTAAGCCAAGTCCGACGTCGGGAAGGTTCGCCGCTCTGCTGGCTGCTTCTTTCTTTCATGATACGACTAAGCTGGGATGGAGATTCTGGGGTGATAGGGTTTACTACCTACTCTTTTTGTGCAGCTCGTTGGGGAAAAATGAGATGGGGAGATGGGGAAAATTAAAAGGTAACTGCAGCGCGAACGGGTGAACGGGGAAGAGGTTACGGGTGTAACGCTTTGGGGTTTGATTTCCTTTTTTGTATTTTTTCTTCTATTTGATGCTCATGGGAACGTGTGAAAGGTTATGATCATAATAATAATAAATAAACAGTAATTATTGTTATTGTTATTATTATTATTATTATTATTATTTCTAATCTATGGTCGCAACCCTTCGTACGTATCTGTTGAACCTAGACCCAAAAAATCAGTATGTTACATCAACAACTTGAGTTCACCATCTGATTTGAGGAGCTCTGCTGTTAGCTTTGATTATATTGTTAGAGGGTCACCTTCGGAGGAAGGGAGCCTGCTCAATCTGCAGCCACAGGGGTCAGGGTTAGGTCTCTCAGCTATGTTTAGGAGGCTTACTCTTTTCCCTAATACAACATAGACATCAAGGATTTGGATTAATGATCCAGGTTCTTAGTTAAAGACAATTACAACTTAGATGAAGATTCTATCATGGAAAACTAGGGGTTTTAAAGACCCCGATAAGAATAAAGAAGTTCAGAACTTATTAGATTACATGTTATTGATATCCTAGCTATTTTAGAACCTAGAATAAGGGCGGGTGAGTCCAAAAAGCTAATTGATAAGCGGTTCCCGGGACGGGAGGAGAAAGTGGCAAACAATGAGTGGTCTTGATAAATTGTGGTTATTGTAGAGGCATGATATTCAATTGTCTGTTCTTCACAAAACTGATCAGTTCATTCATGCGCTGGTTAGTACGGGCAAATCAGTTAAAATCGGGATTTTAGATAAAATAAAAAATTGGGGTAAAATTTGAATCGTAAAATCGAATCGTAGGATTAAGTACCATATAGAAATTAATATATAATAATATTAATAAGATAAATAATTAATAACACAAAGACTTATAACATTTAAAGTGATAATTTTCACGATTAATGTTCCAAAATCATCTTTTTAATTGTTATTTAATGCGTAACTCAAAATAATTTACGAGGAAGGGATAGGGATAATGGGGTTTGACTCTTGTTTTTCATGTTGTGTCTAGAAAGTTTAATTCAACGTAGTATTCCGACATCATCTACTCTCTACTAAGCATGATTTAAAACTAAGAATAAGTGAACTCCAATAAAATGTCTAATGTCATTGGTTGGTACAAATATATTCATTATTCAAATTTGATAAATGATGTTAAAGCTTACGTACTTACAATATTATGACAATTATTTTACCGATGAGTTAAACAAGGAGATGGGAAAGGGGTTGACAAAACCACAATTATTTTTTTTTCTTTTCAAATGTTCTTTTAATAGGAAAAATATATGAGAAGATCCCTGTCATTGTCCTTTCCACCGAAACAGTTCTGCTTCTTTTGAATTGGCTCAAGCTCACTATTTTGTTCATATAAGATCAAAATCCCGATTTTGGCACGATTTTAACAATTTTAATCCCGATTTTATAGTAAAATTAGGATTAGAATCCCTAAGTAAAATCATAAAATCCTACGATTTTACGATCAAAATTCTGATTTTGACTGCATTGAGTACATGCACTTCTTTTTTATAACTTTTTTTTATGCTTCTAATGAGGACAATGATAGGAGACAATTGTATGAGGATATGGGGAAATATAAGGTTAGTTATGTTCCTTAGATAATTGTTGGATATTTCAATGCTATTGGGCATCCTAATGAGGCTTCAAACTCTCCAGTTTTTAATTCTAGTATGTCTAATTTTCAAAAGTAACAATTTGATCTTAGCTGGAGGAGCATAAGGCATTTGGGCCATAGTTTACATGGATTAATAAACAATTAGCTAAAACAATTGCTAGATATTTGGATAGATCTTTTGTGAATATGCATTGGCTTGAAGTGTTTTTGAATAGCGCTGTAGATGTACTTGACCCTTCTGTCTCGTATCATTGCCCTGTGAAAATTCTATCTAATTGCAAGGTGAAATCCTTGCCAAAAGTGTGTGAGTTCTTTAATTTCTGGATTGATCATCATTCCTTCATGGGATTGGTTCAAACATCTTGGTCAACGAAGGTTACAGGGTTCCCTTTGGTGAGGGTTTGTAAGAAACTCAATATGCTCAATAAACTTCTGAAATAGTTGAATAATGAAGAGTTCTCTGATATTCCAGAAAGGGTCAGATTGCAATTCATTTATTGTCTCAAGCTGCTGCTTGATCTAATTCTTCTACTGTCACCTTTGAATAAGAAAAAGCTGCTTCGATGGAGCTTAATGTTTTGAAGGCAGCAAAAGAACATTCCTTAGGTAGAAATCAAGAGAAATTTGGCTAAAGAGTGGTGACTGTAATACTGCTTATTTTCACAATTCAGTTAAGGTAAGACAGAAGAGGAATATGATTAGATCGCTGGTTGATAGTAATGAGACCCGAGTTACAGATACTAGGGGATGTGTTTGATTGCCGAGTATTTTTATAAGAATTAGATTGGTAAGAAGGATTTAAGGGTTCGTGATACTCCTCTGGAATATTTTTTAATGATTTAATGATGAAGAAGCTGAATACATATCTAGATTCACTTTGTCAAGATGTTATTGCTGAGGAAGTTAAAAGAACCTTATTTGCTTTTAATGGGGACAAAATTCTTGGTCCAGATGGCTTTAATGCTAGGTTTTTTCAAGCTACTTGGCACATCATTGGTGAAGAGGTAACATAGGCTATCCTTTCTTGTTTTTCTTCATTCTCTAATCCTGTAGAAGTGAACTCAACTCTGCTTACTTTACTGCCTAAGACAAATAATGTTGAGGATATGAAGAATTTTTGGCCAATTGCTTGTTGTAATGTCTTGTATAAATGCATTGCAAAAATTGTTGCTGCTAGCCTGAGTAATGTGTTGCCTCAAGTGATTAGTGATAACTAGACTGCATTTGTTAAAGGGAGAGTAATTGGTGATAATATTCTCTTGGCTCATGAATTAATTCAAAAGTACACTTGGAAGAATATTTCACCTAGGAGTATTATTAAAGTGGATTTGATGAAGGCTTTCGATTCAGTAGATTGAGGTTTCTTGTTGAAGGCGATTCAGGCAATGGGATTCCCTTCTCACTTCATTAAATGGGTTGAAATGTGCGTTACTACTCCTCATTTTAGTGTTGGTTTTAATGGTGGCATGGTTGGGTATATTGCTGCTCGAAAGGGTTTACGTCAAGGGGACCCTCTCACTCATTTATTTGTGATTACAATGGAAGTTTTTTCTTGTCTTAAGCACAAAGTTGCTCAGAGTGGTAATCTTCCCTTTCATCCTAGATACTCAATCAACCGGTAAAAAATTGAGCAAAAGAGTCTGCTTCATAAAAGTTAAGTTGTCTAGCATTTAAAAAGCTCAAGTCAACTCATCTTATGTTTGCGGATGATTTACTACTCTTTTTCGGATGGACAAACTATGGGGTTAGTTGTGTTCAGAGGGTGTTGGAACAGTTGAGGGACTTGTTTGGTTTGGTTTCTAACCGTGCCAAATGTGAAATCTTCTGTGGTGGTCTTTCAATGTAGTGGCAACAACAACTGGCAGGAAGAGCGGACTATAAACTGGGTTCTCTGCTAGTTAGGTATCTTGGATTACCCCTGATACTAGGGAAGCTTTCTGTCAAAGCATGTTCTCCTCTTATTGACTAGTTCACTGTACGATCCAATTGGAAATCCAAATATCTAAGCCATGCGGGTCGTCTTCAGCTTACTCTCTCGGTTCTGTATAGCCTCACAAATTTCTGGATGGCTGTCTTTGTTTTACCAAAGTAAGTGGGGAAGGAGATTGAACAACT